TGTCTCAAAATATAAATAAGGGCTGGGATGTTGAACATTTTTTCATATATTTGTTGATCAAATATATATCTTCTGAGAAGTGTCTGTTCAGCTCCTTAGCCTATTTATTGATGGGGTTGTTTAGTTTTTTTGGTGTTCAGTTTTTTGAGTTCTTTATATATCCTAGAGATTAGTGCTTTCTTTATATATCCTAGAGATTAGTGCTCTATCTGGCGTGTGTGGCAAAAATTTGCTCCCAAAATGTAGGCTATCTGTTCACCTCACTGATTGTTTCTTTTGCTGAGAAGAAGCTTTTTAGTTTGAGTCCATCCCATTTATTAATTCTTGATTTTATTTCTTGTACTTTAAGAGTCTTGTTAAGGAAGTCAGGGCCTAATCCAACATGATGAAGATTTGGGCCTACTTTTTCCTCTACTAGTCACATGGTCTCTGGACTAACTCCTAGGTCCTTGATCCACTTTGAGTTGAGTTTTGTGCATGGTGAGAGATAGGGGTATATTTTCATTTTGCTGCATATGGATTTCCAGTTCAAGAGGCTATCTTTTCTCCACTGCATGATTTCAGTGCCTTTGTCTGCTATAACTGTATCTATGTGGGTTTGTCTCTGTGTCTTCTATTCTGTACCATTGGTCAAACAACCCAATCAACAAATGAGCAGCTGAACAGACACTTTTCAGAAGAAGATATACATTTGATCAACAAATATATAAAAATGTTTAACATCTCTAGTAATTAGAGAAATGCAAATCAAAACTACTTTAAGATTTCATCTCATATCAGTCAGAATGGCAGTTATCAAGAATATGGACAACAGTAAGTGTTGGCAAGGATATAGGGGGAAAGGCACACTCATACATTGCTGGTGGGACTGCAAATTGATGCAACCAATCTGGAAAGCAGTATGGAGATTCCTTAGAAAACTTGGAATGGAACCAGGCCATTTGACCAAGCTATCCCACTCCTTGGTCTATACCCAAAGGACTTAAAATCAGCATATTATAGTAATGCAGCCACATCAATGTTCATAGCAGCTTAATTCACAATAGCTAAACTGTGGAAGCAACCTAGATGCTCTTCAATAGATGAGTGGATAAATAAACTGGTATATATACACAATGGAATATTATTCAGCAATGAAAGAGTAAAATTACAACATTTGTAGGTAAATGGATGGAGTTGGAGAATATCATGCTAAGTGAAGTAATCCAATTCCAAAAAAACAAAGGCCAATATTCTCTCTGATAAGTGGATGCTGATCCATAACATGGAGTGGGGAGGCATGGGAAAAATGGAAGAACTTTGGGCAAAGGGGAGGGAGGGTACGGAGGGTACATGGGTGCAGGAAAGATGGTGAAATGAGATGGACATCATTACAGGAGGTACATTATGACTGTACATATTGTGTGATGCTACATTTTATACAACCATAGAATTGTAAAGTTGTGCTGCAATTGTGTACAATGAATCAAAATGCTGTCATATATACCTAATTAAAATAAATTAATTTTAAAAAAGGGGACTTGGGTAAGTAGCTCAGTGGTTTAGCAATTCTGGGTTTAATCCCTAGTATCAAAAAAAAAAGGGTTTAAAAGTTCAAGTATAATGAGAGATTATTATGTCATTTTTGTAGCTCTTTGAGAAGATATACTGGGAAAATAATTTATTATTATATAATTTTTGTATTACTGCTTATCACAATTTAAAATGACATATATATTGTCTATTTATCCTCTATAGATTTCTCCTACCATATTATAATGTCTCTGGTGGGTTTTCTTTCTATCTTTTAACTATGTTTCCATGAGAAATTAACAAAATGACTAGTATTTAGATACGTCCAATAAATATTTTGAATAAATTAATAACCTGTTAATATTTCTATAGAAAAGTTACTTGATGTTGGATTTAAAGATATGCATATTTTAAATACTGATAGAGCCAAATAGCTCTTCAAAAAAGTACAAATCCAATTCTTGTAATATTGGAAATATCTAAAAAACATAAGTGTATTTACTTTCTTGCGAAGAAATTAATAATGTAACTATTTAAAAAATCTGTTCTGTTGTATTTTTCTCAGAAAGAGAACAAGTTGACTCCTTCAGGAAAATTGTATTGAGAAATATTGTGTTGAGAAATTATGTTTTGCATTTTGAAATTGTTGTGTCTTAGAAGTTGGTGTGTGGTTACTCTGAAGAAATAACATTTAAAAATGAAACTTGCATGTGCAGTTTGGCCAGATGAAAAGTGTAGGATATATATTTTAGGAACAAGTGCAAATATGTATGTGATCTAACAGCAAAAATCCAAACAACAATAGAGATTAAATGAATTACTATATTCTGTATCTTGAATACCATGGAATCTTTGCAATGAATGAAGTGGTTCTGTAGCTACTGAAACTGAAAGATGTTCTTGTGTGACTGAGGAGAAAAACCACAGTCATGATCCTGTTTTCTCAAAATGAATAAACAAACAAACATTGTGGGTGTGGGTATGTATGGACACCAAGCATGCATGCACTTGTGCACACAGGAAAAATGGTTTAAAAGGATATAAACCAAAATGTTAGCTGTGTTATTTCTGGGGAGTGGATGGGTTGTAATATAGAGATTTTTAATTTAATACATTTTGATTTTTTAAAAAGTCAACATGTGTAAATCTTGTAATTACTGATTTTTTAAATTTTAACAAAAAATGCAGTACTTTGTAAAAGCATGTTGGATAGCTCTTGAAGTGCATTTGTTAATAAACTTGCAGGACGTGTCAGGACATTTCTTATAGCAATTCTTTACTAGACTTATAATATAGTTTCTGTTAGACTGCTTTTCTAACATTTTCAAAGCCATGGAGCCTGTTGTTTACATTCAGTCTTAGGCAGAATTCCTATATATGAAAATGATGAAAGCAGAGTTGCTTGGTGGAAGCTGGAAGTGAGGGGCCTTTCTCTATGTTTCCCTCGCCTCATAATCTTTTGACAGCCCCTAGGGCTCTGCTGAACACAGTTTGAAATATACTGGTCTCTTCCCGGGATGCTTTTGATTTAGTCCTTCCTGAAGGTCAGAGGGATATACCAGCCCTGTGATTCTAAAGCACAAAGAATAAAGAATGCCTACAGGTAACCCCTGAATTCCCTCTTGCTTTACAGAAAACACATTTAGAACAGGAAACATTTGTGTCATATAAGATATTTCCAGATGTACAATAGAAAAGGAATAATTTTTATTTTGCATTTCGTGGCTTTGGAGTCTTCTAATTTTACTTCTTAAAATCCAAGCTTTATGATCTATGCCCTCTAAACATCCTGAAAATGACTGTAACAGTTTTGTTAAGGTAATGTTTATAGGTCCTATAAATGATTGTTGTACTATTAGATGTAATAGGACAAGAAGTTTTTAACAACACAAAATGCTTTTTTTAACATCTAAGAATATGCCTTTTCCAGATTTAAACAATGGAAGAAAGAATTACATTTTTTTAAAAGCACAAGTTGTATTTGTTAGTGAAATCTGATCCAAGAATGATTTTTCTTTTAGCATTTGCACATAATTTTATATTTATTATTTCATACTTAATATTTGATTTCTGGGATTACTTTGTGAAGAACATTTCTCAATACCATATACACTTTGCTTAACTCAGTATAATCTTTAAAGTTTTGATATAAACATGCTAGTTTTTTTTAAATAATAAAGAATACATAGTATCACAGTTTGTTCACATAGATTAAATTTCTGCCTATGTCTTAAATGGATTTATTTTTATTTTTAATGTTTTTGTGTGTGACTATAGTAAAGAGAAATTTTAAAAATATAATAATAAAGAAGAAATAAATTTTTGTTCCCCACAAGGTGGTACTGTGGTTCTTTTACTCTTTCAAAAACCTGTGCACATAACTGGTATTTCTCCCCCTTTCTCGCCTTCCTTCCCCCACCTTTTACAGGTGATCTTCAATTAGATTCTAATAAAAATGAGAAATAACTTCAAAGGAAAACTTGATACTTAAAGTTTTGAGGTAACCTACAAGCAACTAAATTTCTCTACTTAGCTTTCTTTAAAAGAGTCCCACCCTGCCTGCCTTGGCTTTTTGTTTTTTAAAGTTCATGTACCAACTTTGGTTATAATTTATGGCATTTTATTTATACTCTTTGTACTATACTTACTATAGTACAAAGAGTATAAATAAAATTACAAAAACCATTACTATTGTAAGTTTTTTGTTGATATAAAGAAATATATGTTATTAAGCATCTTTAAAATGTTTTACTAAATAAGTGTAAATGCAACCCATCATCTTTAGGCAATTACATTTTGTGATGTTTTAATTTTCTTCCTTCTAACCAATTTTTTCATAATTCAGAATTTTATCCAAGCCTCAATTCTTTAGGTAAAAATTATAGAACATGTTTTTTAAAAAGCATTTAAGTACACATTGTGTTATTATTTGTTTTGCACTGTATCCTTCAGGTTTTTTAAAATGTAAAATAAATTCATATTTGAATATGGAACATCATATGTAAATCTGTTTTTCTCTGCACCAAGAACCAAGAGAAATAACCGGAAGACTGGATTCCAACCTTAACTTCCCCACTCTGTCAGCTTGTCACAGGCCTACATTTGGCACACCCTGCATAGGTTTCTGGACTTGGCGTTGGAGACACAGCGACAAAGAGGTCCTATTGGATCCTGCTTTCTGGGCAGAGGTGGTCTTAGGCGGGTCCTGCACAGCAGAAATTTAATGGTTGGAGTGGGGCCGAGGGGAAGTGTGTTTTCAGATGTTTTCGTAGTAAGCAGGGTCTGGGGACTGGAAACAAATCTGATGAATTTGTTGATCACAGTAACCGAACGTGGGAGGATAAGAAGTAAAGAAAGAAGGAAAAAAAAATCTGCGAGTGATTGGAGAGACAAAACCAAGGGAAAACAAGATTCAAAAACGACAGCAAAAGCCAGAGAAGGCAGAAAATAGAAGTGCCGGGTGGGGGGCGGGACGCAGTCGGGGAAGAAGCGGGGTCCAACCAACATGGAGTAGGCAACAGGAGCTTAAGCCTGGGCAGCCATCCTTCTGTTTTAGCCTCTTGCAGAGCTCGAGAAGGCGTTATCTTCAGTTTCGCTTAACGGGTGGGGAAACCTCGACCTTAAGCGGCTAGGTAATTACTCAAGGTCACCAAGCTAAGTGTCAGAGCCAGGATTCTCACCTCTCCTCGACCCGGATCTGGCTCTGCCCAAAGCGCGCCGGCCTCTGCGGGAGAGGACGCCCCAGAGGGCAGAGTAAGCGGCCGGGCGGGGAACCCTTTCCTCCCCAAGAGCACTTTTCAAGGATCCTTTGTGTGTGTGTGTGTGTGTGTGTTGGGCAGCGGGGCGTCTTCTACATACCCCAAGTCTGGTCGGGGAGAGAGCGAAGAGGTGTCTGCTTGGGAGAGGGGAGAAGCGCCCTATCCCTTGGTTTCCCCAGCCTCTTCTCTCAGCTCCTCACTCGGGTCCTCCAGCCACGCCATCGCGGGCCGCTCCCTTTCCTGTCCAGTCTCCCAGTTCTTCCCCGACCCACTAACGCAGTCCGAGGCCTGCGGGCAGGGACTGCACCCGGTACCCGGTCCGTGCCGAGTTAAGCACGTGTCCCCGGGGCTCTGGCGCCGGGCAGGGACCACGTTTCCCAGAGCCGGAGTCGGGGCGCTGCAGTGGAGCATCTCTGTAAACGAGGCCGACCGAGACGGGGCCGGAGGTGTTTACAAACCTTTTGGTAACTTGCACGAATATTACACAGATACACAAGAATAAGAACGCGTGTACCTCACAGGAGGTAAAAAGAAAGCAATCACAAGGAAAAATAATGCCCAGTCTATATGGTAAATTGATGCAGTTTTCATATTATGAGCACCCTATTCGATGAATAGCTCCTGCCAATCCTCAGTGATTATTCAATGATTATTAATTGACGAGACACCTTTCACCTGAAAATGGCTTGTCTGCATTGTCTTTCTTCGCAGAGAACTGCGAATTAAAGTTTCTTTGTTAGGGAGAACAAAGAAGAATCCAAACTATTTTAAGGAGGCTGTAGCATTTGATTTGGCAAACCGTTTTGCTAAAGATCAGCCTTCGCTCTTTGACTCGCCCCCACTCTGTCACACTCTCAGCAGAGTTGTCTTTGGAACAAGGCTGGTGCCCCTGGTGGGTTTGGGGGCCCCCTCTTCCAGATATTAGCAATTTAGAGTTAAGAAATTTAGAAGTCTTGAAATACAACCTTTCACATTAGCATCGGAGGTAACCGAGGCCTGAAAAAGTTGAGGCCCTCTTGCAAGTTTGGTGCCAACGTGGGACCAGATACTAGGTTCGGTCCTACTGCATTGTGAGTACTTGGAGCAGCAGGTCCCAATATCTTCCTTCATGCAAGTCCCGTGCCCCACGCTCATCCTGCCTCTTGGGAGCCCAGCAAAAACTCCCTTCTTGAAAGTTTGTTAAGAAGGGAATGTCTTCCTCTTTTCCATTTTAAAAATTATTTTCTCTTGCTGTCAGATTCATTCTGACATAGATCAGGAGTGGAAAAGTGTGTGGTATAGAATAGAGTCATTAGTAAATCCATCTCGTTTTTTGTTTCATTTGACAGCAACACATTAAATTAATCCCTGTCCAAAAGAATCACATTAAGGGAGCTGTCAATGCTAATCCCCAGTTCATTGTTGCTACCTAGCTGAGGGTTGACTTTAATAGGTCGAGCTGACATTTGTTTCTTCAGAGGCACATCGGTGACTTCATCCAGACCCAAATATATTTCCTTCCAAAAGCAGAGGCACTGACAAGTTTTACAGACCCTGAATTCTCTGGGCTTCTAGCTTTATGGTTGGAGCTCTAGTTGGAAATGTTGATTCATACTTGCACCTTAAAAAAAAGAAGAAGAAGAAGAAGAAAGAAAGAAAGGAAGAAAAGTAGTCTCCTCCTTGAGAAGGGGAAAAAGTTAATTTAAAAAATTAAAAATAGGATTATGTTGCTATTGTTTATGTACTTTTTAGCATCCTATGTTAGCTACTACTGTTGTCAATAGATCTGATTGTGTACAAACTAGATTTAAGATAAGAAGAAACAAATCTTAACATGATTAAGAGGAGAGCAGATTATATAGAAAATGAAAGAAACGAAAGAGACAAGGATGAGGAAATCTGGGAAAACATAAGTAAAAGACCCATAGAAGGTATAGAGAAAAGGGAATTTCTGACAAATCCATGCAGTAATTTAGATAGAAAAACTTTAGGGAGTACAGAAACTAGGAAAAATATATTATAATAAGATTAAACATTTCAACCAATATTTATAAACTATGATTATAAAATATTTTCTTTAAATGAAATCTCCTGGTCTCTCCTCTCTTCCACCCCTCACACCCACCCCTACATACTGATATGGATTATCCAGCTTTGTGCTTATGATATTTATGGATTCCAGATCTGACAATCAAATATTGGCCTTCTCTGGACAGCTAAGAGAAAGCCAAGGATTGATTCAATTTTAAATCATTTAACTTGTTCTTAAAATATTCTTTCCACCTGGTTATTCTTATTTTCATGTATACTTGGCACAGTTTAGAACACAAATTGGTAGATAAAACTTGAGAAATGACCATCCATTATTCAACAAGCTTATATTGAGTAGCATAAGGATACTAGAGATTGGCTATACCTATGTATACCACAAAATATATATTTATATATCAATATTTATCTTTAGATACCTATATATCTTCTATATACATCTAGATAGATATATAGAGAGAAGATATATAATCTATTTTACTAATTGAAGCATGCTTTTCCATATTGCAAAATGATACTGTAAATCTTTTAGTAAATGAAAACTCACCTTTGCCCAAGTTTTCTCCCCGAAAATCTGTATTTTTAAGAAAGCATGGTACAGTTGTACCTCTTATGCTCAGGATTTTAGCTATTTTAATTTTAAAATTTTTAACATAGTTTCATCTCCTTTTGTCTCTTGAGAGTCATTTCTGGACTTTGTGTGTGAGGAGGTATATTTTTTTCTACACAGTCTAGGTTCATAGCTGAGAACCCTTTAACAAAAAACAGATTAACAAGAGAAATACACTCAACGTTTTTTTAAGTTTTACATGATATGGAGCCTTCATAAGAAAACTGAGACCTGAGTAAAAAGTTAAATTTGAGTGTTTTTTATAATAAGTTTGGTGAAGATTGTTCCAATGGGTAGAAAAATGATAGAACAAAGGAGATATACAAGCTAAATGTGGGAATCTTAGTAAGGTTTGTTTGTTCAGATTCTTTTCTGTGTTTCTTCATCTTGGAAGATAAGGATACTTCTTTCTTCAGGGCTTCTATCACAAAAGGTCTTATGACCTGCTTCAGGGAAAAGTCAGAACATCCTTCCTAGATTTCATGATTTGCTTCAGGGGAGAAGGGTTGTGGGAGGCCAGGGAAACCTTCCTGCTTCTGCTGTTTTTTTCAAATTCTTTCAGCATAAAATATGCCTTCAGCTTAAAACATGCAACAGTTCCATATTTTCTGGTGACAAGTCCCATACCCATTCCAGACATAACAACCTTTGAGATTATTTTATACAATCAACAAAGCACACTTTCATTGAGCTATGGAAGTCTATTTCATTAATTTTAATGATGGAAAACCTGAATTTTATTCAGGAAATGGGTGAGGTTTTTTGTGGTCAAACAATAAAACTATAAAGGATAAGTAAGAAAAGAACTATGCATGCATTCAGACTCTCCAGATAAATGTCAGGAATATGAAGATAAGGACTTAGGTTCATATTGCATTAGTGGACTAAGACCCAGTTGACATTTTAGAAACTAGTGGGTTAGAGCAGACATGAATGGAATACTGAAATTCCAGGGACTCCAAACGTAATGATATCTTGTAGTCAGTGTCTTGTATATAGTAGGCACTTAGTAAATAGCCTTGAAATCAATAATTAGTATGTGAGTAAAGCATAAATGGAGAGGGAATTCATGGTGAACTGAATATAGATAGGAAATAATAGAAATGGCAGAGGATAGTTGAACATTGTTAATTGTAGAAGTGGGCATGTTTGGTGGCATGTTGCTGGGTTGAAGTAACTGAGGAGCCATCTCTCTGTGAATCAATGTGGGAGATAAGGCCAGTAGGCAATAATACAATATATTATAAATGCCTTTCAGAAATGTATTCGTGGGGATGGGGTTGTGGCTCAGTGGTAGAGCGCTTGCCTCGCACGTGTGAGGCACTGGGTTTGATCCTCAATACCACATAAAAATAAATAAACAAAATGAAGGTATTTAAAAAAAGGAAATGTATTCGTATGCACTGTTCATTGTATTCATGTCAGACAAGAACTTTGTCTCTAAGAAACATCTGTATTTCAAAGAAAAAACTGTGTTCAAATTTAGGTAATTCAAACATCCGCCCACAGAAAGGTATATATGTAGAGGTCCTCAAGAGGAGCTGAACCTACATCACTAGGTGTAACAATGTTGTGTCAGGAGGTGACTTTCAGCAGTGGAACTCCTAAGTGTCCTATATTTTTTCCCTTCATGCAGTGAGGAATGACTCTTCCTCTTCTCCTTCTTGTTGGGCCAAGAAAATAGAGTGCTCCAAGGACAAACCACTGGTGGTAGAGACACCCTGGCAGATTAAGCACTGGCAGAGGCTGGGGCAGGGCTTGGGTATGGTTGATTTGGTGATAGTTGCAAAGGTATTCAGACTCTTTGGTAAAGCAGACCCATAGTCATTCCCTGGAGCCTGACGTCACGTCACTTGTGTCCCATCCCTGGAACCAATCCCTTATGACTGTTTTCTTCATTGGCCCTGGGTTGAGTGGGCCATACCTGTGTCTTGTGTTTTTTTTTTTAATTCATTTTTTTATTGTTGGTTGTTCAAAACATTACATAGTTCTTGACATATCATATTTCACACTTTGATTCAAGTGGGTTATGAACTCCCATTTTTACCCCGTATACAGATTGCAGAATCACATCAGTTACACTTCCATTGATTTACATATTGCCATACTAGTGTCTGCTGCCTTTCCTATCTTCTACTATCCCCCCTCCCCTCCCCTCCCCTCCCCTCTTCTCTCTCTACCCGCTCTACTGTAATTCATTTCTCCCCCTTGTATTATTTTTCCCTTTCCCCTCACTTTCTCTTGTATGTAATTTTGTATAACCCTGAGGGTCTCCTTCCATTTCCATGCAGTTTCCCTTCTCTCTCCCTTTCCATCCCACCTCTCATCCCTGTTTAATGTTAATCTTCTTCTCATGC